GGTGTGGTTGAATTGACAACTTAGCTACTAATACTTGAGAATATTCTTTGGCTCCCCTTGTGTCGAATCAATAAATTTGGGTTGAATACTCCACCCTCGAAAACTGTTGCGACCCCTATACTTGTGGGTTATCAATAGTCACCTACTATGTGTTATGATCCGGTAACCCCGAAGTGAGAATAATCGGGACCACTCCCAGTGATGACCGTAGTTTGAGGAGTTCATGTATTCACTAAGTGTTAATGCTTTGTTCCGGTACTGCATTAAAAGGAGGCCTCAATATCCCTTAGTTTCCAATAGGACCCCGCTGCCACGGGAGGGTAGGACAAAAGATGTCATGCAAGTTCTTTTCCATAAGCACGTATGACTATATTCGGAATACATGCCTACATTACATTGATGAATTGGAGCTAGTTCTGTGTCACCCTATGTTATAACTGTTACATGAGGAATCACACCCGACATAATTATCCATCATTGATCCATTGCCTACGAGCTTTTCACATATTGATCTTTGCTTAGTTACTTTTCCGTTGCCACTGTTACAATCACTACAAAACCAATACTGTTACTTTTGCCACCTTTACTATTACTTCTATATTACTTTGCTACTAAATACTTTCCTGCAGATATTAAGTCTTTCAGGTGCGGTTGAATTGACAACTCAACTGTTAATACTTGAGAATATTCTTTGGCTCCCCTTGTGTCGAATCAATAAATTTGGGTTGAATACTCTACCGTCGAAAACTGTTGCGATCCCCTATGCTTGTGGGTTATCACAAGGCCCTTCTCAAGTTGCTCCTTCAACTTGGCATTTTCCTCCACAAGATGCACATGCTCACAAGAAGGGTTAGAAGCATGGGCATTTTATCAATTAGAATGAAAGGCGGACACGTGGAAATCTCCTTAGTTAGTTTCACTTGGAGTTGATCATGAGACTCTTTGATAGATGCATGAGCACCTTTCAAGGCCTTGTGAGCCTTGTCAAGAGTTTCAAACTCTTCCTTGAGCCGATCATGATCAACCCCAAGGGCAACTTTCTCAGATTTAAGCACACGGGAAAGAACAATAGCATGATCAAGATCTTTTTGTAATTTAGCACGATCAACGCTATGTGACTCCTCAAGAGCCAAATGAAGACCTTGCTCTTCCTCTAGAGCATTGGAAAGATCCGCAATCTAATCGGCATAGTCACGACTATGCCCCTCCATCTTGGAGATAGTATCCACATGCGACTCAATGATATCATTGGCCTCACCAAGTTGTTCCAAGAGAGCAACAAAGTGCTTCTTGGACTCACCCTTGAGTTTGTTCACAAACTTGGTGAACTCATTCTCATCAACTTTCTCCAGCTCACTATCATCAATACAATCTAACAATGAAGGAGTAGTAATAATGGTGGTTTTGATGTTAGGAGTTACCTTGTTGATATCTTTGACCATGAGACACTTGGCAATGGTGTTTTCGTTGGGGGCGCCGAAGAGAGACACCTTGGAGGGGGAAGATGTAGCAATGGCAATGGTTGCCGTTGCCATTCCTTCTCCACTTGTATCTCCCCCCTCATCATCGGAGGTGTACTCTTCATGTGCCACCAAGCCCTTTGGAGGAGGCTTCTTGGTGAAGTTTTTCTTGCTAGGGAAGGACTTGGCTTTATCCTTCCAAATGAGTTTGCCACCATTGTCTTCCCTCTTCTCGTAAGGGCAATCCACCACAAAGTTACTCACATTGCCATAATTGTAACAAGTTCTTACACGTTTCTTGTTCCTTGACCCACTTGAGTTGTTCTTGTTGAAGTTGGGCCTTGAGTTCCTCTTATTGCTCCAAAATTGCCTTAACGCAAGAGCCATGTGCTCATGATAAGCATACTTGGTGTCCTCGGGGGCACACTCTTCTTCTTCTTCCTCTTCTTCTTCCGAGATTGCATTAGACTTCAAAGCAAGGGTGGGAGTGCTTTTGTTTGACCGAACCCGAGCAAGAGCATTGTCGGCGGTCTTTTTCATGATGTTCATGGCAATAAACTTATCCAACACTTCACTTGATGTTAATAAGTGAAAGTCCGGCCTTTGACGAATCACGGAAGACATGGCCTTGTTGAAGGGCATGATGGCCTTGAGGAACTTGCGCTTGATCCAATTGTCATCTGTATCCTTGCTTCCATAGTCTTGGAGAGCAACCGCAAGAGTAGTCACCCTCCAGTAAAGGTCACGCGAATCCTTATCTTCGAGCATCACAAATTTATCGGCCTCATCAAGGACCACTTCAAAGTTGGATCGTTGGATGCTTGAGCTCCCCTTGTACATCGAAACAATGTGCTCCCGACAATCCTTTACACAAGTGAAAGGTCGAATGTGTGCAAGGTCTTCGGGAGGGACCTCTTCTTTAAGGATGAACAAAGCGGAGTGATTGTATTGGTTGTCCACTTCTTCTCTTGGGGCGAAGTTGTTTGGATCATGCGGGTAGAAGCCTTGCTCAATGATTCTCCAAAGGTTAGTTGAGCAATGATTCAAATGAGACTTAATGCGAAAGATCCAATTAGCAAAATCACCCTTAACAAGCTTGGGAGGTGTACCATGAATATTAATGCGAGCTGTAGGGACCGGTCCTCCATAGACTGGGGGAGGGGGAACCGAGGCAAAGGTTCCCGTCCCATTCTTGCCATGAGGGGAAGGAACATGAGTACCTTGAGCCGCTTCCTTGGCAGAATTGGCCTCTGACTCCGATGTTGTGGGATTAACCACAAGCAAGGAATCGGGCGTGGATTTCATCCCCTCAAGTAATTCTTTAATCATGGACTTGACTTCGGCCATCATAGACGTCTTAAGTGAAGCCATAGCTTCATTTAAGTCGTCTCGAGTGATCGAAGTCAACTCCACGGCCTCGGGCACTTCCTCCTCGGAGTCAACCATACTCTTCGGGTGGTGAAACCCTTAATAAAGAGACGAGGCTCTGATACCAATTGAAAGGATCGATATGGTTGACTAGAGGGGGGTGAATATGCAACTAGCAATTTTCAGCTTTTCTTAACAAATTAGGTTTAGCAACAAATAGGTTGTCTAGATGTGCAACTAGGTGAACAACATATATGATGCAAACAATAACAACAACAAGTGTAAGCAAATGATACAACACAATAATAGCGTGCACAAAGTAAAGGAAAGAGATAACCACAAGTGGACCCGGTGGAGATGAGGATGTGTTACCGAAGTTCCTTCCCTTTGGGGGAAGTACGTCTCCGTTGGAGCGATGTGGAGGCACAATGCTCCCCAAGAAGCCACTAGGGCCACCGTATTCTTCTCATGCCCTCACACAATGCGAGATGTTGTGATTCCACTAGTGGTGCCCTTGAAGGCGGCAACCGAACCTTTACAAACAAGGTTGGGGCTCTCTCCACAACCAAACTGGAGGCTCCCAACGAAACCATGGAGCTTCACCACAATGAAATATGGCTCCGAGGTGAACTCAACCATCTAGGATGCTCAAACACCCAAGAGTAACAAAATCCACACAAGAAAGTATGGGGGAATCAAATATCCTTTGGTGGAAGTGTAGATCTAGGTCTCCTCCTTTAATCCCTAGCAAATCAAAAAGTTTGAGTGGCTAGAGAGAGAGATCGGGCAAGAAAGCTTGAAGGGCATTAATGGTGGAGAGAGAGGCAAGAGGTGAAGAGGATAGGTGGAAGAACCCCCTTTATATACGAAACCCGAAGATCTAACCGTTGCAGCCGTTTTTACACTGCAGCGATACAACTGCTCCTCTCCCGATACAATGGGAATCACGGGTAAGCTGCTGAAACCCTAGCAGGCGGTACAACTGGACGCCAGAGCGGTAGTACCAGTTATTAGGAATAACCGAACCAACCGCTTCCCTACCGCTCAACAACCGCCTTGGACCAAAGGGGAGTCACCCCCATGGGCGGTGGTCGAGCGGTAGTGCTCCGGAACAACCGCCTACTCCTGGTGCACGGGGTGGCTAAGTCCCAAGCGGTACAACCGCTCGGACACCCGGTAGTACCGGTATGCAGAGCACAACCGAGACAACCGGGCCACCACCGCCCAAGTACCGCCCTATCACAGAAGCGAGTCCGGTGGTTGGGCGGTACCCGGCCGGTACAACCGCCCAAAGCACCACACCAGGGTACTTCAAGTGGGAGGGCGGTACCACCGCCCCGGGGCGGCAATACAATTGCTTGGTAAGAAGCTGGGAGGTGCAACCCCAGGGTATCACCCCTGGGGCGGTGGTTGGGTCGGTACAACAGGCCAACGGTACAACCGCCCAGGTGGGCGGTACAACCGCTAAGGAGAAACTACTGCACCAGGATGAACTAAAGAGAACCTCTCTCTACACGGAACGGAAGGTAATGGTGGGTGACGAGAAGAGTGTACGTGCAATGATTCACCCCACGCCTTCCGATGTGAATTCCCTCTTGATAGTACGGGTTTCCTACGACCAAGGAAATAAACACGTAGAAAACTCCGTCTTCGATCTTTTCCTTCGAGAGAAAATGTCTAATCGATGCGAACCTGAGCATAGAGAACATGAAGAACTTAACACATCATTAGACCACAAGGAGAGTTGTCATCATCACCCAAAACACAAAGATGGAAAATGTCTTAACAGTACTTCTATACGGAACTTCAACCCCCCGTTAGGGTAAAAAAACGAACAATTTCAATAGTTAGAAGTTTCATGATTTAGACGTAACAAATTGAAATTGAAATTTGACGAGGGTTCCTGGTTTGCAAATTTGACCTTTTCGTTTCCTTGACGGGAGCGGAGCCCTTGGTCCCCTTATACGGAGATTCGGATATTTACAGGGAGCCATACGCAAAAGAGCAAATTCTTGCACATCTCCCCTTTGTTCGCGTCATCATCCCCACCCCAACCCGTGTATACTCCTCTTCACTTGCCTGCCTCTGTCTCCCGCATCGCGATCAGTCATCTCCTCCCAGCCTCCCCCGCCTCGCCGGAGATCACGAGAGGCGGCGCTCCACATCCCCGCGATGGACGCCTCCTACCGCCGCTCAGGTGCGGGCGGCGGCGGCGGCTCAGCCCCCCGCACCGTCGAGGACATCTTCAAGGACTACCGCGCCCGCCGCAACGCCATCCACCGCGCCCTCACCCACGGTACGCGCCCCCCACTCCCTCCCCGCCGCCTAAACCCCGAACCTAGCCCTAACCCTTCTCCCTTCCTTCGCAGACGTCGAGGAGTTCTACGCGCAGTGCGATCCAGGTGAGGCCCCGACGCGATCTCTCCCCTCTCTGCTACAGTTTCGATTCAATTGGCTGCGAGCTGCCCTCCTCAGATCGCGATGTGCTTTCGTGTCCCGACAGAGAAGGAGAACCTGTGCCTGTACGGGTACGCCAACGAGGCGTGGGAGGTGGCGCTGCCCGCGGAGGAGGTGCCCACCGAGCTGCCGGAGCCGGCGCTCGGGATCAACTTTGCGCGCGACGGGATGAAGCGCAGCGACTGGCTCGCGCTCGTCGCCGTCCACTCCGATTCGTGGCTTGTCTCCGTAGCTTTCTACTATGCCGCGCGGCTCACCCGCAACGACCGGTATGATGTCCCCCTCTGTTCCTTTGGGTTTGATGAGTGATGCTTTTGTGCTGCAGTGCCAGTGTGACGCACTCATGTGAAGGTTCTAAATCCGGACAGTCTACGGAACTATTATTAGCTCATAGAAGCAAGTTATGACTTTGTTGGTGTCCTGTATAGACAAGGGGATATATCTAGAGGGCATCAAGGGACTTCTGGGGAACTTGTTGGGATTTGAGGTTAATGTTAGAATTTGCATGTTATGCACGTACCTGCGTGTGAACTTGTTATGTACGTGTGTCTGAACAGCGATCGCGGTCTGGTTTAGATTTAATTTTTGATTTCTCAAGTACCATTGTGATACTAAGTATTCTTTACATGGGAATTTTTGGGCCTTCTTTAGCGGTTATCCTGTGATCTGCTGGAGAAAGAGATCTAGCTCATTCTATAATGGTTGTCTGCAACTCTGCATGCTCCATCTTAGTAATAAAAGAATAGTCAAGTGGAGAGAAATTATATGAACTCATGATGAGTAGTAACCTCACTGAAATGAGGCAACTTTTTTTTTCTTGTATATTGTAATCGTGATATAAAATTCCAAGCATGTCTAATATCAACAGAGGTTTCAGTTTTTGTGCATGAGTTTACTGTACCTACTCTGTGCTGTGCCCACTGGTCACATGGAGGAGGATTTGGTGTATAGAAAGTTATGTTTTTTTGTGGAAAGGAAATCACATCCATGTATTCTTTCTGTCCCTCTATGGTTACCATGGCTAAATAAAAGCAGGCCTACGCATGCGCTTGGAAGCAGAATGCTTAGCGCTTAATCGTGCTAGTGCTAGGTGTACGCTTAGCGGCTTTGGTGAGGCAAGCAGTAGGCAGAGACAGAACTAGGAATTTACGCCTTCGAATCTTGATGGTTAGTATGGTGTTAACATCTGAAGACGCATCTAAATACAAGAAAGAAAAAAAATCTTCTGAAGCCAAATGTAGGAAGTTATGCTTTTTTGTGGAAAGGAAATCACATCCATGTTTATTTCTGTCCCTCTGTGGTTGGCATGGCTAAATAAAAGCACGCCTAGGCATGTGCTTGAAATCAGAATGCCTAGCGCTTAGTCGTGCTAGTGCCAGGTGTGCGCTTAGGTGAGACAGGCACTAGGAAGAGGCAAAACTAGGAATTAAAGCCTGGTGCTTTTTTGAACCTTGATGGTTAGTATGGTGTCAACTTTTGAAGATGCATCTAAATAAGAAAAAGAACTTCCATCTGAAGGCAATAACAATTTTCACATGGTAACCTCTCTGTTCTGTGGAGAAGAATAATTCTGTTTGCTTTTGTGAATTTTTTATCTCCCTCAATATTGCCATAAAATGCTATTCTAGAGTTTTGAGGTTGTACCATGTATTTCCTCCAGAGATTTGTTTATATCTTGCATAAATTATGTATATCATCCACTAAATATTACACTCACAAGAATCCATATTGAAACATGTATTTCCCATAGCTACAGATTTAAGAAGTTTTTGTGTCGCAAAAACTCTAGATTTAAGATTGGACAATTATATGCAACCATACTGACGAGCCCGGTCCACTTGTTAGCCTATTGGCTTTGCACCTACCCATAAACCCATGACAGAGGTTTGACCAAGGCTGCAAAGGGTTGGAGTTGTGCCTAGAGGGTTCAATCTTAAATCTGGAGTCATGTGTTATGAAAGCTTCTAGATCTATTGCTAATTTGCTATGTGCTAGACCAATCTGGAATTTTGTAATAGTTTGTACAAAATGCTTGAGGTTTTGCAAAAAAATTAGTCTTCTCTCTTTGATGTCTATCGCATTTGTGAGAATTTTTTCCATCTTAATGATCCTTAAAGATACGTTGTACTACTCAAGTCGTCTTCTATACATTTTTTTGTATATGTTTGGTGTTCTTACCTTGATCAAAGAAGAATTTGAACTAAGCAGATTAGCATTTGAGGGACTAAGGGTTCGCTTTTTAATACATGATACACCATGGTTTTGGAAATACTTGCACTTTTAATACTACAATTTTTAGTGGTAGCGAAACCACTAATTAGAAAATACTGAGCTATCAAACAGGGCCTGACATTTATGAGTTCTTTATTGCAGTTGCTTCTAGTTTCCTGTAATTGCTTGCCATGTAAGAATTTAGCACCTGTTGTTTGCCTCAATGTTAATTGAATTGCATAATGCCTGCTTTTCTCCTCATCATTATATTCCCATTTTGGGTGTCTGGTATGCAGATCTCTAAAGTTGTCTGGACCTATGTGCTCTGTGTTGAGTTAACCATTTCTGTTTGTGTAAACTGTCCTAATAATCTTAGATAATTACATTTCTATACTTGCAGACGCTAAACATTTTGTCATTGCTCCCTGATAAAACAATCGGCTGAATGTGTTCTTAAGAAAGTATAGTGTGGCATCAGATCTTCGTAGCAACTGCGTTTGTTTGTTTTGCTAACATAAACTGTGTTAAACTGTGGACTGACTATCTGTGTCCTTGGAATGCTTCTATATAGTATAGATTTATGGATGATATATTGTTATTAGTTTTTCAAGTAAAAATCACTCGTATGCTAGTATTGATGATGGCCAGTATGCTTGTATTTTTTCATTTTGCATCACCATACATAGTAGTGGTACCCTTTGTCAAAGGATGCTATGCAAGAAATCTATTCCGTGTTTTTGAAGTCTGAGATATGTAGAACGGGTTGAATATTTTGGTTTGGATTTTAAGAAGCTACTCCCTCTGTCCCATAATATAAGAGCGTTTTTGACACTATATTATGGGACGGAGGGAGTAAGAACAATTGGTGATGCACTGAGTAAGAACAGTTGATTTCCTACAGGGAGCGAATCCTTGTATTATTTTTCTCATTTGTTCCCTCAAAAACTCGCAATTGAATAAATAATTGAGCACTTGGTAGTTTTCAATGTTTTGCTAGAACTTCTAGCTTTGGAATTTATTGGTGGGTTCAGAGTTTTATCTAAGCAACGTTTACTTAACTAATTTTATGTGTAACTAAATAGCTATGCAATCATGGACAGCCTTGGTTTGAGCCCACCTTTGGATTTTATGAGGGATGCGCTTAGAGAAACTAGATTATGTGTGGACCTAGTTGACCTATAGGGTCATACATTTATCAGGATAATAATACATATAGTTGCAAATAAATTTGACAAAATGGTCAAAGTAACACTGAATGCAAATACAGAACAGATTTGCTGCTCTCTGTTATCATTTTATTTTGTTGCAAAGAGTAAGAGTTTGCACTGTTATTATGTTATCTCATAGTTTCCCACGGCAATTCAACAGGAAGCGTTTATTTGGCATGATGAATGATTTGCCAACCGTGTATGAAGTCATCTCAGGTATGAGACAATCGAAGGAGAGGGACAGATCGGGTGGTATTGACAACAGCGGTAGAAACAAGCTGCCATCAAAGGTAACAGGAAATTCTTTGCTGTTTTGATCTCTTCTTCTCTCTTCTTCTAATTTTATTGTGTCTCCTCAGCATACAGTCGAGGCGCCGCCACCACCACGTACAGAAAATAACGCCAGGGATGCCGATGAAGGCTACGATGAAGATGACGGCGACCACAGCGAGACCTTATGCGGAACATGCGGTGGCATATACAGCGCCGAGGAATTCTGGATTGGGTGCGATGTGTGCGAGAGGTGGTACCATGGCAAGTGCGTGAAGATAACTCCGGCGAAGGCGGAGAGCATAAAGCAGTACAAATGCCCAAGCTGCAGCTCCAAGAGACCTAGGCAGTAGCAGCGCCGCCTCCTTTTGGCGGGGGACGGCCCCCATGGACGGGGGCCTTGAAGCAGCAGCAGCAGCGGTTGAGACTTTAGACTCCTTGTGCAAGGCTAACTACTACCGTCTTGCTATGTTTACTGTACCTTTCGTTTCAGGTTTACATATGGTGATGATGCTAATGCTTGTGAGGGAAGATGACACATTTTCAAAGCCTTCTAATGTTTCCATGTCCTGAAGAGGAGTCAAAGGTGTATGTTGCCGGGAAGGGATAGTAGAATGATGAAAATATGTGTAACTTTTCATGGGAAGTTCATGTTCCAATAATCCGGGAGGTTTATTTATACTATTCTATCTATGTTAATATATGTATTATTAGTCTGTTCAGCTGTCATGTGGAACCTGTTGTGAAATAACAATTTTGGTTAAAGGGCAGCCTGGTGCATGTAGCTCCCGCTTGCGCAGGGTCCGGGGAAGGGTCCGACCACTTTGGGTCTATAGTACGCAGCCTTTCCCTACATTTTTGTAAGAGGCTGTTTCCAGGACTTGAACCCGTGACCTCATGGTCACAAGTCAGTAGCTTTACCACTGCGCCAAGGCTCCCCTTCTGAAATAACAATTTTGGTTATCCTATTAAAAACACACAATAGTTGCTTTACCGATGCTGCATTCTTCGGGGAGGTGGTCTGCAACGCCGACTGACCGGCAGTATGGCTTAGAGCCAGCTCGTTTATATGGTGGGTATATATGAAGTCGATTCATATTATTTGTTGCTCAAATAAATGTGGCAGTATGGCTTAGAGCCAGCTCGTTTATATGGTGGTATATGTGAAGTCGATTCATATTACTTGTTGCTCAAATAAATGTATCTAGATGATGTATTTGTATTTCAGTGACGTCCATTTGTGTTAGATAAATCCATTTGAATGACAAGTAACATGGAAGCGAAGCAAATACTTTATAGTATATATGATCTCACCACTTATGTCAATGGCTCATCCTTTCAGCTCTTCTTTGGCCTTTAGTATCTCCGTCTTCCCATTATAATCTCATCATCTATGTCAATGGTTCATCCTTTCAGCTCTTCTCTGGCCTTTAGTATCTCGGAAGAGAATGAGCGTAATTATTTTTCAAGCATCCTTAGACCAAATCAGTTGTACATTGGTTTACAAATTAGTGATTACTCCCTCCATTCCTAAATATTCCTAAATATAAGTCTTTTTAGAAATTCCAACAAGTGACTACTCCCTCTGTTTCAAATTACTTGTTTTGGATTTGTCTAGATACGGATGTATCTAGACTCATTTTAGTGCTAGATACCTTCGTATCTAGACAAATCTAAGACAAGTCGGAACGAAGGGAGTACATATAAAGCAAAATGAGTGAATCTATACTTTAAAATATGTCTACATACATCCGTATGTTGTAGTTCATTTGAAATATCTAAAAATGCTTACATTTAGGAACGGAGGGAGTATGTGGTAAAAAATAACCTATTGTTCTATTTGGTAGATAATAAGTAAACATCATTTTTTGTGGCTAGTGCTTCTATAACCGTTAAATAATTGTAAGGTTGCAATACATTTTTTCAGAACATGCAAATTGCAATTAAAAATATAACATTGAGAACTGCCTTTCCATATTTTTGTTGGGAAACTTGAGAGACCTTTTGGCACTGCATCTGGTTATCCAGCCGGGTTGTGCTCAACACCATGCCATCCATACAGACATGGTCGAACATGTATCATCTGTGGAGCCGAGGGAATATGCAACAAAGGGTTCATGAGCACGCACAACGGTACTCCTGCAAAATAACATCAGAACATTATTGCGGTTGAGTTATGGTTACAACAATCGGAGCTAATTGAAACAATACTGAACATGGCTAGCAAGTACTCCCTTCGTCTGAAAAAACTTGTCCCTCAAATAGATGTATCTAGCCCCAAGTTAATGCTAGACACATCCATTTGAGGAACACGTTTGGGACAAGTTTTTTCGGACGGAGGGAGTATCCACTCACCGATGAAATATTGGTCCAGGTCTGCAGGAAGACCAAAATATAGGTAACTAGGAGATTGTGAGCTCTAGAATAAAAGAACAACACCTTTGTCGCACGCTACACTTTGATTCAGTGTGAGTGTGAACTCCTCAACCGCCACAACTCTGTGAGGTAATTCAAGCTGTAGACTACCTTCATGATTGGAAGTGGAACGTTTGATATAAAGGTGACTACGTTAGAAAAGCTAGCGTTGGCAAGCTGACCGGTAATTACATGGTTGCATCAACATCACCAAATGATTTGCTGCAAGGACAGTTCACCTTTACTATTGCTTTTTATTCCAGTAATATATACGAAAAAGGATTCAGAACAAATGAGGCGAAGGGCTGCATTACCTAGGCAACATGGTGGCAGTGAACTGCTACCCCAACAATGCATCCCCGCAGCTAGTGTCGATCATCTGTATGACGGTCGCTTTGTTCAGCATGTAGTGTCGTCAAGGATTGGGTTGTTGGCCGGTGGCGGGGGCAGCTACATCCAGGCTGCCCCGTTAGTCGGCGACGAGATGCGGTTCGTTCGATCTTTGTACTTGGAGCGAGCAGGAAGGAGGCAGCCAGCACCTACGAGCAGAGTTGACCTACCCCTCGCTTAGGCAATCAGGATGAGAGAAAAGATTAGTTGGGGAGCTTGATTTAGTAGGAAAAAAGACTGCAAGAGATCTTTATATTTTGGTCATTTGAGATTTTGGGAGGTAATAGCACTTTCATTTGGTGATCAATGGTAGTAATGGGAGGGTGGTTTAGGGTTTGGTGATCAATGGTAGTAATGGGAGGGTGGTATTCAATTTGGTAAGATTTGATAATAATTGATTTGTTGTGTATAGCAGAGGATTTGTTGGGGATACATTGGTCATTTGGTAAGATTAGCGGTTGAAGGAAATCATGTCAAAAAATCAGTATAAAAAGGCGAAAACGTGGATGAGGTGGGTGTCAGTTTGGAGAGAGAAAAATCGATGGGATGAGGAGGCAAGCGTACCTGGAGGACAAAACAACTTACAACTCTCTTTTAATAGTAGAGATGATTAGAAGTGGAATGTTTGATATAAATGTGACAATGCGTTAGAAAAGTTAGTGTCGGCGAGCTGACAATGGTAATTCTATGGTTGCATCGGACATCACCAAATGATCCACTGCAAGGATAGTTCAAGTTTACTATTGTTTTGTATTTTAGTAATGTACATGAACAATGGTTCATAATAAACGAGGCGAAGTAGGGGAGGGGGTTGCTGAAGGAAATATGCTCTAGAGGCAATAATAAAGTTGCTATTTTATATTTCCTTAATCATGATAAATGTTTATTATTCATGCTAGAATTGTATTAACCGAAAACTTGATACATGTATGGATGCATAGACAAAACACCGTGTCCCTAGTAAGCCTCTACTAGACTAGCTCGTTGATCAAAGATGGTTAAGTTTCCTAACCATAGACATGTGTTGCATTTGATTAACGTGATCACATCATTAGGAGAATGATGTGATGGACAAGACCCGTCCATTAGCTTAGCATAATGATCATTAAGTTTTATTGCTATTGCTTTCTTCATGACTTATACTATTTCTTTGACTATGAGATTATGCAACTCCCGGATACCGGAGGAATACCTTGTGTGCTATCAAACGTCACAACGTAACTGGGTGATTATAAATATGCTCTATAGGTATCTCCGAAGGTGTTTGTTGGGTTGGCATAGATCGAGATTAGGATTTGTCACTCCGAGTATTGGAGAGGTATCTCTGGCCCCTCTCGGTAATGCACATCATGATAAGCCTTGAAAGCAATGTGACTAATGAGTTAGTTGCAGGATGATGCATTACGGAACGAGTAAAGAGATTTGCCAGTAACGAGATTGAACTAGGTATGGAGATACCGACGATTGAATCTCGGGCAAGTAACATACCGATGACAAAGGGAATAATGTATGTCGTCATAACGGTTTGACCGATAAAGATCTTCATAGAATATGTGGGAGCCAATATGAGCATCTAGGTTCCGCTATTGGTTATTGACCGGAGAGGTGTCTCGGCCATGTCTACATAGTTCTCGAACCCGTAGGGTTCGCACGCTTAACGTTCGATGACGATTTGTATTATATGAGTTATGTGATTTGGTGACCGAATGTTTTTCGGAGTCCCGGATGAGATCACGAACATGACGACGAGTCTTGAAATGGCCGAGAGGTAAAGATTCATATATAGGACGATAGTATTCGGACATCGAAAGTGTTCTAGGGGTACCGGGTATGTATCAGGTCACCGGAAGGGGTTCCGGGCAACCCCCGGCAAGCTATATGGGCCTAATGGGCCAAGAGGGAAAACACACCAGTCACTAAGGGGCTGTGGCGCCCTCCATATGGGCTGGCCAAATTGGAGAAGGAAAGGGGAAGAAGGAAAGGAAAAAGGGAATAGGATTCCCCCTTCCCCTTTTCCCATCCTACTCCGAATAGAAATAAAAAAGGGGGGAGGCCGAATTGGGAGGACCCCAAGTAGGATTCCTCCTACTTGGGGCGCCCCCTTGGCTGCCTCCCCTCCCCTCAACCAATATATATGTGTGTGTGGGGGGGGGGCACCGCTAGAACACACCACAAACATTGTTAGCCGTGTGCGGTGCCCTCCCCCTCCACAGTTCACGCCTCTGGTCCTATTCACGTAATACTTAGGCGAAGCCCTGCGTGGATCACTTCACCATCATCGTTAACATGCCGTCGTGCTAACGGAAATCTCCCTCGACACTTTGTTGGATCAAGAGTTCGAAGGACGTCATCGAGCTGAACGTGTGCAGAACTCGAAGGTGCCGTACGTTCGGTGCTTGATCGGTCAAAATGAGAAGAAGTTCGACTACATCAACCACGTTGTAAAACGCTTCCACTTTCAGTCTACGAGGGTACGGGGACACACTCTCCCCCTCTCATTGCTATGTATCTCCTAGATAGATCTTGCGTGAGCGTAAGAAATTTTTGA